TCCTCCTTAGTGATGACCCCTCCTTTCCATTGGGAGTAAGCCTCCTTTTTGGCAAGGAGACATTCCCGGATGTTTTTAGTGAGCCATGGAGGCTTATATGCTCTCCTGCCCCCTTTGACCCTCCTGGGGATTACCTTCCTCTGGGCTTGGAGGATCGTCTCCTTAAGGAGCGACCACTCCCCTTGGACACCCGGCTCCCCTCCCCTCTGAGTCTTCAGCGCTTCTCCAACTATCCTCCTTAGCTCGTTGAAGTTCGCCCTCCTAAAATCTAGGGCCACCACCTGACTGCTTGCCTTTGCTACCATGCGCTGAATGGTGAATTCTAGCAGGCAGTGGTCACTGTCGCCCAGGGGGTCAAGCACCCGCAGCCCCCTCACCAGGTCGTCGCCCGTGGCCAACACCAAGTCCAACAAGGCATCCCCCCTGGCGGGGCTGTGCACCTCCTGGGTTAGATGAAGGTCCTGGACTCTCTCCAAGAACCTGCGTGCGTGCTCGGACCTGGCCAACTGCTCTTCCCAGCAGATGTCTGGGAAATTCAGGTCCCCCATTCAAAAACCAGCACCCCTCCCTCTGGCAGGTGCACAGAGGAGGACTGCACTACTGCTTTCCCAAACTGAACAAGTGGTCAGGCCTAAAGAACAGTGTTCTGTGAAAGTATGAATTGAGCTCCAAGTGACAGATCTAGAGATAACTCACAAGTGTGCTCTAAGCCCTTTTGGAGAAGGGACCAGAAGGGTATACACAAAGCATTCAGAAAGCATTCTTTAATTCTTCCGCTGATAAGGGACAATTCCAATCATTTCCTACATCCCTTATACCTACTGAAAACAGACTTGGGTAACATTCTTAGCATCAAAATTAATGCACAGATTACTGTGCCCCCTCCCTGCTCCAAAGCGAAATCAAAGCTCAAAATTAAAATCCTGGCAATTTTATGGATTGTTAATATGGAATCCTGTAAGCCTCTTGCCAAAAAATATTATATGAAAGGATGAAGAACCACTTTATCCTTATGAGAGAGAATTACAAAACAGCTGTCTGAACGGAAGGGAAAAACACCGAAACATTCTCTCATGGGTTCAAACAGGTGCTCCGTGAGCTGAGGCTCCAAGTAGGAAAAGAGTCTCAGACTGGAGAAAAGTTCTTTATTCCCTCCAGGAATCTTTTATACAATTGTTGGATACAGACCAACTAGCGCACAGACAGAATTCACACAAACAGTGCCATGAGTGACACCTGCAAGTTATCCCAGGTACTACTGCTTTAGTTGATCCATCTGAAGAACTAAAAGATGCTCTTATGGAAAGGTTAGCAGCCAAGTGACCTTCAGCAATTCATATTTTTGGCTAGTTGTCTGATCTTCCAGCAGTGACTGTAAAGAAATGACTGCTGAAAACTGAAAACTCTCATGTTTACATTTGGAGGGAAATTCCTGATGCACTGCTGTATTTAAACTAAATATTTCTCACTGGCTACAATTTAGGACTGGCAGGATAACCATTTGTAATAGCTATGTGCCTGAGGGTATCTTGTGATCTGAAAGATAAGCATTCTAGAGTTTTCAAAACGTTAAGTAGGTTCCCCAGTTGGATGTCATAATAAAATGGTGGATACAAGTATGAAATCAAGGTTCAGTCCAACAAGGACTTATACCAAATCAATATTTTCTCAACTCATCTTTCTTGGGGATTTTTTTTTTGTTTTTTGTTATTTCCCTGAAGTATTAATACGTGCCCAGGAGGAAATTCATGCATTTCCAGGGAGGTCTGCCTGGCTATACAAGTAGTCAAGTCCCAAGCTGCTGGAGAGAAGCTACAGAAAAGATCTCGCCAAACTAAGTGAGTGGGCAAAAAAGAAAAGGCAGAGAAACTTAAATGTCAACAAGTGCAAGGTAATGCATCTGTGGAAAAAATAATCTTAATTACATGCACACAACGCTGGGTTTTGAACTAGTTAAAAATTCAGGAAAGAGACCTGTCATCCTTCTGCTGTACTCTGCCTTGGTGAGGCCACAGCTGGAGTACTGCATCCAATTCTGGGCTCCACAATTTACGAAGGATGTGGAGAAGCTTGAAAGAATCCAGAGGAGAGCAATGCGCATAATCAAAGGGCAAGAGAACAGGCCTTACGAAGAGAGGCTGCAAACCACAGGACTCTTCAGCCTGGAGAAGCGCAGGCTCAGGGTGACTTGATGGCAGCCTATAAGTATATAAGGGATGTTCATCAGGATCTGGGGGAACATCTGTTCACCAGAGCACCCCAGGGGATCCAACAGTCACAAACTCCTGCAAGACCATTTTAACCTGGACATAAGGAAAAACCCCTTTACTGTCTGAGCCGCCAAGGCCTGTAACAGACTCCCCCCCCCACAGAGGTGGTGCAAGCACCTACTCTGGACGCTTTGAAGAAACATT